CGGCGACGCGGCGGCCGTCCGCGCGCGCGACGTGGCAACGTCGCAACGAGCCCTCACGGACGCCAGGCCAGGCGATCCTACCAATACTCACGTACGGGTGTACAGAGAACGGCGGACCGGAGAAGGAAAGAATCCCGTTTTGCCGTGCTGGAGATGAAAAGAGACGGGGGAAAGGGGAAGAACGAGCGGACGCGCGACAGAGAAAGATGGACGAACCGAATGGCAACGGCGAGGGTGGAGGGGGAAGGGCAGGGAGGACAAACGTGCGGAGCGAGCGAGAGAGAGAGAGAGAGAGAGAGAGAGAGAGAGAGAGAAAGTAAGATAGGAAGTGAGAGGATCGTAGAGACGAAGAGAGAAAGATTCTTCGCACTCGTAGCTCGTAGCACAGGCTACCAAGTTTTCCGCCCGATCTCTTGAGATTTCAGGAAAGCGTTTCGTGCATTCGGAATACATGCGTCGATCGCGCGATTTTTTTTTTATTTGTCCAACGCATTTCTCGCGTCCTGGGACGCGGTCGTCATCGTCGTTGTCATCACCGTCGCTCTTGACGAAACCAATTTATATTACGATAATTTCCTTCTATATATTCCTTCTATATCGCAGATGAGTCGCGAGAGACGTTTCCGTTTCTTCGAATTGCGTGAATCATTTTTACGCAACGCCTCGTCCTTCTGGTTAGTAGCAAGAATGCAATCATTGGAAATTGAATATTCAGAGAAAACTTTTTCATACGCGAATAGCATAAAATTAGAGGTTTATTAATATTATATGTTCGAGCGTATAGAGAGAGAGAGAGAGAGAGAGAGAGAGAGAGAGAGAGAGCGAACATGCCAAGTAGAAAAAATGCAAGCGACGTGAACAAATCTTAAATCTATCGTCACGATTTCATTTACGAGCGAAAGTCCATTTTGGAGTTTAGATCTACTGAAAATCTAAGATCCCAACGAATCGCTATTAATACATAACGATCGCGGCGTCGTTAGTTACATTGGCATACTCGCGCGATTCCACAACCGACGTTTTTGCAACCTTCGTTCGCGCATATAGAGCTCCGCGATCGGGTGATGAATAAGTTAAACAAAACGAGTTAGTAGGTCAAACGCCCTGGTCGGGTCCCGAAGTTTCACGCGATAGAGCGTGAATAAATCCATGACGCTCGCTCGCGTCGCCTGCGAGCTGCGAGCGTAAACCAACGTAGAACGCGCCGTTCGATCTCAAAGTCTCTCAAACGCGCGGAAAAGAAAGATTGTTGGATCGGACGCCGTTCACGAGCGGGAGATCCGATTTCCCCGGAGGAATCTGCGCGTAGGAGATTGATTCGTTTGCCTTAGCGCGCAAATTCTTGTACACGGAACTCGCAATATCCGCGCGATAAATCTAGAGACTTTGTCACGCTACGTATTGATAGCATTAGATTAAGAATTGCGAATTGAGGATTAGCATTCAGCCAATCTGAACTAAATGGATTAAAATAAAAATTATTTGATTGGTCGAATTCTAATCTTTAATTTCGCAATCCTCAATCTCCAATTATGTAATCTTAATATCACATAGGCACAACAGAGTCTGGTCTAAAGAATAATTTTATTAAAACAAGAGTAACGAACAATGGGTATATACATATATTGTCTCTTTT